CTTAAATCAGTGGTTCTCAACCTTCTGCCCCTTTAAATACAGTTCCTCATGTTGTGACCCAACCATAAAATTATTTTCATTGCTACTTCATAACTGTAATGTTGCTACTGTTATGAATCAATGTAAATATCTGATATGCGGGATGGTCTTAGGCGACCCCAGTGAAAGGGTCGTTTGCCCCCAAAGGGGTCGCGACCCACCGGTTGAGAACCACTGGCTTAGGTGGACAAAGAGCGTTAAGTACAGGAGGATAGCCAATTCGTAACTGAGCCTGGAGATCAGGGAAGGCCCCAGAGCTAACCCTGAAGTGTGAGGCGGGCCGGGGGTGGAGGCGTGTCATATGCAGAGGCTCTGGCCCATCAAATGCTGGCTGCTCAGTGGGCAGCCCAGGGTGAGTAGCAAGAGATGACGATGGAGGGTGGGAGGGACTGCATCCTAAGAGCACTGCGCACCTGCTGCAGACTCGGGGGTTGTCCCAAGATGGTGGGAGCTCTTGTGTCCAAGCAAGAGGCGATGTGCTCAGTTTAATTGTAAGAAGTTCGCATTGGTGGCTGATGTGTGATAAGGTGGAGGGGTGAGGAGTGGTGGCAGAGATTCCAGTGGAGACACCAGTACAGTGGTGGGCGGCTCAGGCCTGAAACCATGGGGATGAAGACAGGCATAGGTTTGATGGTCTGAGGAGGTAGAACTGGTAGGACTTGGTGAAGGATTGAAAAAATGAGGGAATCCAGAATGGTCTCCAGCGTTTTCTGTCCTGAGCAACTGGCTCAGACCCCAGAGGAGTAGGGAGCCTGCCTAACCCTCCTCGCTCCCTGGAACTCGCAGAGCAGGTGGCTGTGGCACGTACTCACTCACTGCATGGGCAGCCGGGGGAGTCCGTCAGGAATACGTATTTGTCACTGTGTGACGTGTACTGAGTGGCCCGGTCTGTCTGTCATCCTGTGGCCTGTGGAGGGAAGCCGCAGGCCCCTGAAGGAGCTCAGTTTTGCCCGTCTTGTTTTTAAAGGAACATGTACACTTCTAATATGTCTCCTGTTGCATAAACCCTGTCTATGTTAAGCTGCTCAATGCTT